GCATGAGATCCAGATTACTATGTTACTTCCAAATAACAATCCTACAGTAAGGAACGGGCATTCTTCTAAGCTGTTGGGCACGTGTGCTGTTTCATGAGCATATTGTGGTCGCTCTCACAAAATGGCTACCATGCAGGGAATGTTGCCTATTCCTAAAATGTTTGATAGGCATGATCCGTCACAAATATTCATTCACCAGAGGGAAAACTGGTGTAGTTTTTGTATCTTTCCTTTCTTTCTGGGCAGCTGGACACAATTTGAAACAAAAGAACAAGCTGTAGCTGCCCACCATTTTATTTTCTAAGAATTCCTACTGGGCCATGTGGAAACCAGAGTAATTATCATAAATAATGATGATGGAGGGTTGGCACTTTATGTTGCGACTTGCCCATGTTGCACATTATTATTTTAATTAAAAGAAACCAAAACATTAAAAAGTCAGTGGGGACAGAGTGCTTGGCAGGCACCATAGGAGACGTTTGTGACCATAGCAGCTTCCTTAGATGCCACATTTCTTATCCCTCCTATAGCACACAATTTGCATTTTCCAAGCAATCAAATTCTTAGAAGCTGAAGAATGCAAACTGTTCGTCTTGTTAATTTGGCTTCCTAATCAGAATGCCATGGGGTACTTTTCAAATGCTTTCCGGAAATCAGAATATGGTAGCTCTCAAGCATTCCCACTATTTACTAAGGAAGTTATTCAGCCAGTATAAGGTTAGCCTTGCAAGGGTTGTTTTTAAGAAATCCCTGTCGATTTCTAGCAATTGGCATACTGTTTAGAAAGTATTTTCTAGTAAACCCCTGACCCTCCTTTTTAAAGACAGAGACGTTTGCCCTTCTCCAGTCTTCTGGCATGTCTCCTGATCTCCAGGATTTCTTAAAGACAGTGCTTGAAGGTTTGTCCAGACCATCACCAAATTCCTTCAATAATCCAAAATGCAATTCATCTGCATTTGGAGATTTGAATAATTCAAGATAAATAGGCATTCTTTGACCAGATATTCTCTGACCATGCTTCTATCATTCTCAGACTTCAGTCTTGTTCTTTCATACTGCTTTCACAATTGTCTGGTGGAACTTGTGCCCTGTTGTCAGAAAAGACTGAGCCAAAATGGGAGGTGAATAGTTCTGCCTGTTCACTGTTACGTCTTAGCATTTTGCTAACTTCACTAAGCAGTTGGTATAATGATACTTTTCTCTTCCTTTTATTTTCAGTATGAAGCAGCTCATTTTATTCTCAGCATCCACCAACCTCAGCTCATTAGCCTTTTGGATACCATCTCTATCATTCCAGTCTACCTGTTTATCCTAGTTTCCACCTCATGTGTGTCATTTTTAGATTCTAGATTTCCACTAATTTTTTTTTGTGTAGCCACATTGGCTTCTTCTGCTGTCCTCTTTTTCCTTATTCAAATTGCTTGTCATTCTTTTTTTAGAATCTCCTTTTTAAGGAAACTCCTCATTTTGAGCTTATTTCCCTATTAGTTTCTCTTGTCAGGGAAGTCTAATTAGAATCACTCTAAGTTTATTAAAATGCACTTTCTTGAAGTCCAAAATATGTGTTTGATTAGGTTGAGCTTTAGTTTCCTTTAAAATCAAGAACTCCAGCACTGCATGGTCACTTGCCCCAATGTTCCTGCTACTTCCACTTCCACGACTAAGTCTTTCGTACCACTTATATGGAGTAAAAAAATATGTGATTTTTTTGTGCCCTTGTACCCTCTAAAAGTTGCTAAGTAAGTCAAGTCAAGAATTTCCTAGGACCATGTTTGATGGAGTTTGTCTTCAGCTGTTGGGGTGATTAAAGTCCCCCCTTATTACTTCTTGATGCTGCTTTGAAAAATTGGTGGTTTGTTTTAGAAAGCAGTATCCACCTCGTCCCCTTGCTTAGTCAGGTGATAATCAATTCGAACTACTGTATTGCTTATTTTAACCCAGATGCTCTCTACAATATCACCAAGTTCATTCACTTGAATTTTTGAGCTGGTGTGAATACTTTTAATGTTCAGTGTAATTCCTCTTTCTTTTGTTTCTATTCCCTTTGAACAAGTGTTATCCTTTGATCGTGATATTCCAACCATGAGAATCATCCCGTTGAGTCTCCTTTATTGATTTCATTAATTTAATGATATTTATAAGCCATCCCAATCCATATGGACTCTGGGCAACATACAATAGTGAGATATACAATGAAAATCAAAACAACTGAAATAATGATAACAATCAGCTCGCTATAATGGTTGCCCAAACAAAATTAAAGGCTAAAAGCTCACTGCAATAATACCAATTTAATTGCTTTCTGAAAGCAAGGAGAGTTGGGGCCATCTGTATTTCCATGGTAAAATGTTCTATAGGGTAATGACCATCACTTTTTCTGGTCATTCTCCTGTCTTCTGCCTGTTGAAGTTTGCTGCAAAACTCCTGTTAGCTTATTCATATGGCCCTTGGCCAAATTTCAAAAGCCCTCTGCGAGAGATTATATTTGCTTTCTGACTAGAATTATCTGTCTTTTCTTCAGATGTCTGAAAAGTGGGGAGAAAAAGGGAGAGAGAAAAGGAGGCTTTATAGAGAAAAGTGGCGCTCCAGTGTGGCTTTAGCCCCACCCATCAGCTGCTCTGTCATCACATACAACTGATATGCAGACCCTGATAAATAATCCCAAAGAGAATGTGATCTTTGATTTAAATTTTAATAATACCAACATCTGAGCTGTTTTTTCTTGTTAAGTTTCTTGAAATGGAAACTAATTGGGGTAACCAACAGTGGACTTGTACATGAAAGCCCTGCTCATTTTTGGTTCTGACAACACATTCATACATAAAGAATATGCTCAAATGCACCTTTAAGTCCCTGAGATAGCCAGATTGTAAGCAGTTGAGGGGTATTAAAGGTGAAAACCAGCATTTAAATTGTGCCTGGACTCAATTGGCAACCAGTGCAGGCCTTTTAACGTGCATATGCATCTTCTGGTTGGTTGATGTTGCAGTTCTCATAAAAAACAAAAACATGCAAATCTACTAAGTTTAAGTTTTCCATGCAAATCCCTGTCATAGAAAATGTGGCCAGTATGATGCAACTTTTTTGTTGTTTCTGAGGGCTCTTAAACCCATTTTGGCTTACATCTGTATCTTAGTCTTCCTCTAGAGTTTCAATCCTGGGTGTAAAATACTGTAGACAGGAAGATAACAGCTGCCCTATGTTTAGTGGGGTTTCTGGCTGAGCACATACCTAAATCCACATTGGTTAATTCCTTCTTGTCATAGGAATTAAGCACTGTGTGGATCCTAGAACCAACTATACAGATTTTGAAGTACAAAAGCTCATGTTGCAATTTGTCTAAGATGTCTGCTGTTTTGTCGTGGCACTTTGAGGAAGTTTGATCAGTTGACTTGGAATTTGGCAGAGGAACCATGCTTGAAGCTCCTCTGGCCACCAGTAACCGACCTTTATTTTCTAGAGGAAGAGTCCATCACAATGGACCAGGATACCATCTTTCTTACTCACAGCCAAACTGAATCTCTCAACTAGTTCTAACAGACCAGTTTTGTAGTGGAACACCTTTCTGAAGATGTCATCATGTGATTTCTTGTAGATTAAATTGATTTAAGATTCACTGGAGTTTTTAAAATGCTTTCAGGATCCATTGTTACTTTGAACAGATGAATTAATATTGTAATCCAGTGACCATCTGACCATCAGCAGTGTTTCCTTGGTTCCTTCATTGCTCTGATTCACACATTAGGCTATGCAAGTGGTTCATCTGGTTTTTGACTTAGTGTGTTGCATAAATTCAGTCATGTTATTGCTTATGTGATGTGTAAGCTTAGCCACTGTAGCTTATTTAACAAGCCACTGTTACATAAAACCATGGTTTACCATAATGTGTAACCTAGCCACTGAATAACCATAACAGCTTCTGACAAATAATAGCATCAAGTTTCCCTATTCCCAGACTGGACAACAAACTGAGCAGACTTAACTTCTTGGCATTTGAACAAATGAGGCCCAGAAGAACTTAAAAAAAAAAAGGCAACCTAAGTGTTCAAATGGCATATAATAGTCAAGCAGGTTAAGCATGTTTAGATGATTAACCAACTTCCTTTGTTTAATCAATCATCAATACTATTACAGCAGCATGGTAGGTCTGCAGCCTTTACTGAGTAATCAATTAAGACCACAGTCCTACGCAGACCTGCTGCACCCACACAAAACCCCAATGTACTCCCGTTTAAATGAATATGCAGGTAGATACAGGAGGGAATGTAAGATAATTTACAATTTAATAAACAAGCCTACCGCTTACTGGTGGAAGAAAAGGCCACCATCAATCTCTTCCTTTAAATTCCCTGCTATAATATTACATCAGAGGCAAAGCAGCCTCAAAAAATAAACAAACAAGCCTTTAACCAGAGCTCTAGTGATTATAATTGTCCTGCATTGATTAATCAAGTAAAGCTTTACTTGTGCGTTCTATATACCAATTACACCGGTTAAAAACTTGCAGCACAAAGAATATTCTTTCTTGCAAAGGAAAAGTGCCCCCCGCCCCCAAGCTGGTATAAGCACTTTTAAATTATTTGTTATTTGGTTGGCTGTTGGTTTTTGTTTTTTGCTGTACAACTGAACTTCGTGACACTGGCTTCTCTTCCAGCTTTCGGTCCTGGGGACTTAAACAGAGAGCAGCGCCACTTTGGGCTGTGCTCCTAAGGTTCGCCCCTGCGAACGAGTGCCAGCCAGGGTCTCGCTCCTTCTGAGACCTGCTACTGTTCTGTCCGTGCGGCAGCCGTGGATTTCTGGAGGGTGTGGTGTGGTCGGTTGCGAAAGTCACGGTGAGATGCAGCAGGAAGTCATGACGCTCTAGCAGGTGGCATGCTGCCATGGCTGGAGGCGGTTTGGATGTCACAGCAATTGTGGTGGCTGCTGAGGGGCGTGGCGAATTGTGGTGCTTGTGATGTGGTGTTGGCACACAGGCTGGGCTCCTGCAGAGGGCTGGGGATGGTTGCTGCGGTTGGCGGCGGCGGCGGCTGCCTTGTTGCTTGGAGGAATATTGAAGAATCTTTCCTCACTGCCAATGGGAACAAGGCACTCGTTTCATTTTCAGAGTGTCAGTGTCCGGGAGGATCGATGGGAACACTGTGTTACAAGTGGAGACGAGGGGGCTGGCTGTCAACCGTTGTAAATCTCTGCTCCACTTGCACAGATCGTTTGCTAGGAGGAATGACACGCAGCATGCAGTGCGGAGAATCGATGCAGCCAAACAAGACGTCAGCACATATAGGTCTTGGTCAGAGTCCTGTCGTAGGTGTCTTTTGAACCCGGTCAGCCCTTTCAGAGGCATTTGTTGCCCTTTCCCACTTGCTTTGAGAACTAGCTGTTTGGAAGGGTTAGGGGAGTGATTGCTTCTGGATTTGGTATGCTGGATGGCAGACGAATCAGGAAAGAAAGGTTCAGCTCTCACCTGAAGAGTTGATTTCTTTGGTAATAATGTTTTGTTCCGGGTGTGGGAGGGTTTAGAGCACAGGAATGAAGGCTGAGTAAGCATGACCTGGGAACAGCAGCAGACATATGAGCTAGTGATGCTAATGACAGAGGGACAGCTGTCATAACTTTGGGGATCTCTTCCTTTCTAGAAAACGCTTAGCAGGTAATAGCTTAGAACAAACTGCTTAAGACTAAAGATGCATTTCAAGGTGATTTTAGACAGCAGCCACCAAGTTGCCCATTTGTTGTGTTGTCTGCCCCTGGTGACCATGGCACGCCAAAGCCCAGTGAGATAGCCATTTTCCACAGGGCACCGTCCAACATAAACGTTTTATCTTCAGTTTCCTGCTTGTAAGGCTGGTGATGTGGTGGCCCTCCTGCAGATTTGTCTAGTTGTGTGATAGCTGGATTCAGTGCATGTGCTCTTTATAGGTCACGTGGCTGCCGCATCGGTCCCAGTGCTGAATCTTTGGATTTCAGATTTCGAGCTTGTTGGATTGAATTTCTTGCTGAGTTCTGGAACCCATGAATCAGAATCTGATGCAAAGTGCATACCCTTTGTGTTAAATTATTCTGGAGCCTTTTGGATCTCAAAGTGGGGAAGAGCTGGCAATCCTTTCAGGCAGAAAGCTACTTCTTTCGTTTCAGCAACATACAATGGTGTGGGGGGAATAATCTTTTTTATCCTTATGGTTAAACATTAGACAAGAAGCCAGAAAGTGCTGATGTAATCTACTTTCTGCCCACCTATGCAGTTGCATATTTGATGCAGCAGGATGGGTGGGAAAATGTCAGATCCTGCAGGGAAACGTTTCACTTAACATAATAGAGCATGCTGCCTCTCTTTTTGTTTTTATTTTCATGTTTTAATCTGATACCTAAGTATCAGGGGTTTGTTAATATAGGAAGTTCCTGGGCATGCATCTGCTTCATCCTCACTCTGCTAAAGATGAAATGCAGCACAGTCAGGATGCTTGCTAACAGTCCTTTGTAAAATGATTTAGCAGCCTATCTTCGATAATTGGGCAAATGAATTCATATCTAGATATAGAACGCTCCATTTAGACAGGATGTTCATAGTCCATGGAAGCTAGCAATTTGACCATTGGACAGTATCATATACTTCCGTGAGCTCCACAGAGCGTTATAATGGGGATTACATTACAGGTAGTCCTCATTTAGTGACCACAATTGGGACAAGCAACTCGGTCGTTAAACAAAGCGATTGCTAAGTGAAACTGTGACTGTGGTCATGATCTGACTTTAGCTTTCCTTGGCTTTACAGACCTGTGAAGGTTGTAAACGCAAGGATTAGTCTGAATCCTAGTCTACTTTCTCATCACCACCGTAACTGTGAATGGTTGCTAAATGAGGTAGGTGCTAAACGAGTACTTATATCTTGAAACTCCACTATAGTACTGGATTATCTCCTCTTAAGAAGGTTGAGTTTGTCACTAATATCCATTATATCAAGTCCTTTTTTGGCATCCTCCACCATTTTTGGCCTCAAGGATGTCCAATACCAAATTGTTCCATGCATTGACTTATCCCTAATGACAAAAATATTTCCTTTGTGAGGGCTTCATCATCTTTCTAAAGTATGCTATATAAAGAAAGCAATAGCACAGTCTCTACCTTTTTTATAGCATTTGTTTTACAGAGTTTCAAAGCCGTGTAAGAATTTACATATGATATTTTAGACAAGGCAGAATCCTTTGGTAGCAGCTTATAAAACACTTCCATCTGACAGTGGAAAGTTCTATTGCCTATCACAGACTTCTACGGTTAGTTTAGACACCATTACATACTTGCAATTTGTCCTGCAAATAGTTGGAGTGCCACTGAGGGCCAATGAGATACGATGGAAAGAGAGCAACAGTTCCCAGGTCCTCAGATAAATTGAATTTATTATGTAAAAGTAATTTTATGATGTTATCCTTCTGTTCACCCACAAAAACATAGCAAGTTTTTTAAAAAGTGAAGTATCCAACTTTCAATAATTCTCAAATATGTATGTATAGCATTAACCATCTCAGGAAATTATACTTCTAGGCAATCTAATCACTGCCACGTAACACGGCCATTACAGTATGGGAATGGTACTGGGGGCCACAATGTCTCCAAGTGTAATTTGAGATGCTACTTGCTACTTGCAAAGCCCTACATGGCTCAGGATCCAGATATCTGCAAGACAGATGCCTATCCCAGATAGATTCCTCCCACCCAGCCTGAGGGAACAGAGAATGCCCACCAAAGGTCCCCACCTACTGTGAGGTGCAGCAGGAGGCATCCTGGAAACCAGCATTCTCTGTGAGAGCTCCCCTCTTTTGAATAGCTTGTATCCTTCCCAAAACTAGGGTCAACCCCACTTATGGCCTTCCAAAGTCTGAGACCTGGATGTTCTGGAAGGCGTTCAGAAATTGACTGACACAGATATCAAACTTAGCTGTTTTTATTTTAAAAGTTTATATTTAATGAATTGTTTGTAATAATACTTTGCAGTGATACACTGATACAGAGAAGAGCTGCGTCTTCTGTCCTACAGCTTAGATCAAATGGTTTCTGCAGTTTTGGAAACCACCCAGTGTATGTGTGAACACACCCAAGTGTATGTTTCAGGATGGAACCGCTTCATGATTTACTAATTTATATTTAATTCATGTGGGAGCACAACAATAATAACTATTACTATGGAACATAATCTTTACCACCGCCATGATGACTAATGCTCCCCACCATGTACATTTACTTGCATGTTATTCCATGTATTTTAAGAGATGTGAGAAATCTTCAGAAAACAATGAAGAACTGGAAAATATTATTCTCTCCCTCTTTCTTTTAGAAAATGACAACTAGAAGTATTACAACATCGCCTTTCTGTTCAAGCTCCAGAAAACCTGATGTCCTCCATATGTTTGGGGCTACAATTCTCATAATTCCTTCTTTTTGGTCATGCAGCCTTGAGTAAACAGGAGTCAAAAGGCACCAGGTTGCCCACCTTTCTCGTTAATACTAGCTTCCCATATGGAATAGCTAAATCTGAGATGATCAGATGGAAAAGGGGAAAGGGTTCCTGCAGCTTTAATATTTGTACACAACAGGGGATTTCAGTCAGCACAGCTACCCATGGGCTAACATCTCTTCCGGTACACAAATATTAAAAGTGCAGGAGCCCTGTTCTTTTTCATTTCTGCCTTCCATCTTTTTATCCCTCTAACACAGAAGTATTTAAGGGCACTGAGCAATTTGTGCAAAAACATCCAATGCTAAAACAAAGTTATCTAATTTGAATGGTTGTGCTCTGCAATGGTTTCTAGACATATTAAGGCTGATGAAGCACTGCAGTGTATTTATGTAGGATTACCATATGTGGGCTGCAAAAATTCGGATGATCATGAACAAGAGAGGGAAAACACTAGCTCTTTGCTACCCACTTGTGGTCATCTGGATTGTTGCAGCCCAGATGCCCTAATTTATGCCCACTGATTTCCCCAGGGAAGAGGAAAAGGATTGTCTTAGGTAAGTGAGGCCTGGTGAAGACAGAATGGGGCTTCCACAATTTAATAACTGAGAAATGGTAAAGCAGAAAAGAGCAGATTGTATGAGATTTTGACCTGTTAATTCTGACAGCTCTGGTAAGGTCACAAAGGGGCTATATGAGTACATAGAATCACACATCCCATTAAACTATAATGAGACATTTGTTTTGAGCTTAGCATGCTGTATGAATGCAGCAAATGTCAAAGGGCTGCTCAGGATCCACCACCAATAGCTTTCTACTGATTGGCCATAAAAATCTTTAGTTCACAAGGTGGACTTCCAGGGAAGAAATGGAGAACTGAAGGCAGCTCCACTAAGGATGGAGCCAACCACCATGGTAGAACGAAGAGCAGTGAATGGACCAACTCTTTGTGATTCCTCTCCGGACAAGGAGAGGACTGGGCTTGCCCACAAGTGCTTCTGACAGCTGCTGTTGTGGGTTTAGAGCGCTGGGAAACAAGGGAAGCCATCATAGCCCAAACTGTGGTTCAGTGCCTTTAAAAAGGACACAGAGTTCGTAGACTTCCTTTCTTAATTACTTTTGGAAATTGCTTGTTAACTGCTTTTTGGATATTAGGAGCCTTCAAAATTGCAAGTTTTACTACACTGGATGTGTTTCCTTCAATTCTTAGAAAAATAAGTTTTATACAAGTTTAAGGACTTAAAAAAAATTTTTTTTTGAAGAAACAGCAAAAGGATGATTAGAGTGTTGATTTTGAAAAGTTATAAATGGACTAAGGGTCCAAATGAATTTGAAATACAGGTAGTCCTCAACATATGACTATTGGTTTAGCAACCGTTTGAAGTTACAGCAGCGCTAAAAATGTGGCTTATGACCAGTCCTCGCACTTATGACCATCGCAGTGCCCCCACAGTCATGTGCTCAAAATTTGGGTGCTTGGCAACTGGCATGCATTTACAATGGTTGCCACATCCCAGGGTCACACAATCACCATTTGCAACCTTCCCAGCTGGCTTCTGACAAGCAAAATCAATAAGGAACCACATGATTCACTTAATGACTATGTGATTTGCTTAACGACCACACGATTAACTTAACGACTGTGGTGATTCATTTAATGACCATTGCAAAAAATGTCATAAAATCAGGTACGGTAATGTGCCGCCTTGCTTAATGACCACACCACTTAATGACAAATTTTCCAGTCCCTATTGTGGTCATAAGTCAAAGACTATCTGTAAGATTTTGAAACTAATTATAAGAATCCTTCCCAAGGGAAAATGCTGTTGTTTTGAATACTTAAAGAAATATATATGATAAGATGGGATTTTGAAGGTTGGACACTAGAGGGAACCAGAAAGAATTAAAGATTACAATTAAAGGAGAGCAGCACTTAAATTTGACTTACTAATACAGAATGGAGCAAAATACTTTAACATTGCATGTATTGAAGGATATTTGTGAACAATGGACCCAGAAGTTAATTTTAAAAATGTCAGCCACTGGATTTACAAAACAGATGGTTAAAGTTGTGAAGAATTTTGTGAGAAGGGACAAAGAAAAAATGAGAAGAAATCAAGCTCTAGGACTTTATTTGAGGGATTAAGATTGCTAAAAGTAAAGGGAAGGAATATAAAAAGATCAAGATTGTTAAAAGTAAAAGGAATATAAAGTTGGTTTATTTGATCAAGGTTAAAATAGATATGTTGTTATCTTTGGTAACCCTCAATGGACTTTTGCTGATCAGGACTGAATGACAAGGCTTTAAGGATTTGTTTATAGATAAGAGTCTAGGACTTTATTTGAGGGATTAAGATTGCTAAAAGTAAAGGGAAGGAATATAAAAAGATCAAGATTGTTAAAAGTAAAAGGAATATAAAGTTGGTTTATTTGATCAAGGTTAAAATAGATATGGTGTTATCTCTGGCAACCCATGGGAAGAAGAGATCATTTGTTGTATTTTAAGAGAAGGTGATAAGTTACTAAAATGGTTTATACTTGTTATGAAGAGGGAAGTCATATATACATATACATATACATTCTTTTCCTTTCTTTTCTGTATTATTTTTTTCTTTTTTTAGTTTGTATTATTTCTGATCTTTTAAATTTAATATTCAATAAAATTACTATATAAAAAAGAAATCTTGAGTTCATGATTGCAGACACTAACTTTTTATAGATCAGCTGGGCAGGACTGCAATGCACGTCTGGGAATCAGTATGACATGAAACTATACTTGGCTACTACTACATCTTCAAGCATGCGGATGGCTAGCCCCATAGAGGCCTCCTGGCTTCAGCCTCAGATTTTTCATCTTCTTGGACTCTCCTTCCCCTTTTTAGTAATGCTTTTAACTGATGTTTTATGTATTAATATATATTTATGTTTTTAATGTTTGTTGTGAGTCGCTCAGAGTTCCCCCACTGGGGGGAGATGGGTGGGTGAGAAATTTAGTAGTAGTAGTAGTAGTAGTAATAATAATAATAATAATAATAATAATAATAATAATAATAATAA